TTGATTAGCACAAATTGTGCCAGAATGAACATATATACATTCAGTGTTCGTATGACTTGACAAGATCATTTTGTCTTTGTCTCGGTCATTCCTCCGGATAGTTCTGTTTGGGGTCATGTGAATTGCCAATTGGATCAATCAGATCAATGGGTTCAACGACCTACCCTAAGGTCCTTGTGGTGACCTTACAGTTCATTTATGCATTGCTGGTGTGGTGTGTTATTTCATTCATTACTCATGGTTCCTTGCACAATCTTTAGAACAAGCTTATTAATTAGTTGTGTTTTTAATCAGCTGTACAATTTAAACATGTCATTTAATTTGAAAGTTTAGAGCGACAATCTTTGATACTAATATATGCTCTTTATGTATATGAATGTATTGACCATGCAAATACCACAATAAATTCAATCATTTTCCATTAGTCCAAGGAAAAACAAATATATAGTTCACTTTGTGTGCAGTACAGATTTGATATGAACCAGACATTTGTGGAGTGAGATCACTTTAGAGATGTATCAATACCTATTATATGACAGTGACTGACACATCAGAAATGTGTAACATAGATGGAATTTGGAAGGGATAAATAGATGTTTAATCAGTTTGTTTGCTTTTAATTTATTCAAGCTGATCTAGGTAATCATCACAGACATTGCCTGAGTACATTGTATATGTGTGTGTGGTGTATGGTGACGGTCTATAGGACCTAGGTGACATCACATTGCATGAGTACATTGTATATGTGTGTGGGGTATGGTAACAGTCTATAGGACCTAGGTGACATCACATTCCCTGAGTACATTGTATATATGTGTGTGGTGACTGTGGTGTATGGTGACAGTCTATAGGACCTCGGTGACATCACATTGCCTGAGTACGTTGTATATGTGTGTGTGGTATATGGTGACAGTCTATAGGGCCTAGGTGACATCACATTGCATGAGTACATTGTATATGTGTGTGTGGTGTATGGTGACGGTCTATAGGACCTAGGTGACATCACATTGCCTGAGTACATTGTATATATGTGTGTGGTGACTGTGGTGTATGGTGACAGTCTATAGGACCTCAGTGACATCACATTGCCTGAGTACATTGAATATGTGTGTGTGGTGTATGGTGACAGTCTATAGGACCTAGGTGTGCCTGAGTACATTGTATATGTGTGTGTGGTGTATGGTGACAGTCTATAGGACCTAGGTGACATCACATTGCCTGAGTACACTGTATATGTGTGTGTGGTGTATGGTGACAGGCTATAGGACCTAGGTGACATCACATTGCCTGAGTACACTGTATATGTGTGTGTGGTGTATGGTGACAGGCTATAGGACCTAGGTGACATCACATTGCCTGAGGACATTGTATATTTGTGTGTGGTGACTGTGGTCTATGGTGACAGACTATAGGACCTAGGTTACATTATATATGTGTGTGTGGGGTATGGTGACAGTCTATAGGACCTAGGTGATATCACATTGCCTGAGTACATTGTATATTTGTGTGTGGTGACTGTGGTCTATGGTGACAGTCTATAGGGCCTAGGTTACATTATATATGTGTGTGGGGTGGATGGTGACAGTCTATAGGACCTAGGTGACATTGTAGATGTGTGTGTGGTGACTGTGGTCTATATTGACAGTCTATAGGAACTAGGTGATATCACATTGCCTGAGTACCTTGTATATGTGTGTGGTGTATGATGACCGTCTATAGGACCTAGGTTACATTGTATATGTGTGTGTGGTGTATGGTAACAGTCTATCGGACCTAGGTGACATCACATTGCCTGAGTACATTGAATATATGTGTGTGGTGACTGTGGTGTATGGGGACAGTCTATAGGACCTCAGTGACATCACATTGCCTGAGTACATTGTATATTTGTGTGTGGTGACTGTGGTCTATGGTGACAGTCTATAGGGCCTAGGTTACATTATATATGTGTGTGGGGTGGATGGTGACAGTCTATAGGACCTAGGTGACATCACATTGCATGAGTACATTGTATATGTGTGTGTGGTGTATAGTGACAGTCTATAGGACCTAGGTGAAATCACATTGCCTGAGTACCATGTATATGTGTGTGTGGTGACTGTGGTCTATGGTGACAGTCTATAGGACCTAGGTTACATTATATATGTGTGTGTGGTGTATGGTGACAGTCTATAGGACCTAGGTGACATTGTATGTGTGTGTGTGGCCTATGGTGACAGTCTAGAGGACCTAGGTGACATTGGGTTTGCCCTTGGGTACTAAATGAAGTAACATTCATTTTGGTGGTGTAATGCTTTTTATGCTAATTTAATAAATATATTGCTTAAGGTAACCGCCACAGAAAAGTGGTGCTTTGTCATAGGTTTATATACAGGTATGAAAAGTTTTAATTACATTTGTGGTAAAGGTTACATGTACTCTTATAGGATCACAGGTGTTGATCACAAATGTCCATGCTTATTTATAGGCTTGCATGGTCATGTTTGTGTGCTGTAAACTTTTCCACTATCACAAGTCATTCTGCCAATCTCTGAGCTTCTTCACATGATAAATTATTACCATATTAACATAAACATTTGTAAGCAGTACAACCTATGTATCTGGTACACAAAGTCAAAATTGTCTAGTGACCATAGTTTTCTAGACACTAGACATGTTCTCTTTTGATCCGTCCCTTCCCTTCAAAAATAAACAGAAACCACTTTATTTTTTGGAGTTATAAAACTTATTATATACATATTCTGAATTAGTCCTGTGCTAAGATAAGGATTTTGACCAGTGGTATTCACTACAGCTACAAATGCTAGACCTGGTTAATAGAAAGTGCCTTGCCATGGAGATAATTAGTATATTTAAACTATGATGCTGGCATGTATAACTAGATACAGAAAACTGCAGCTAGTACAGAAACAGCTAAAACAGGAAGCAAAGTTCAAGCTTTTATCAGTAATTACCTCTTGTACAATTTGAACATCTTCGTTTCCAAAGGGAAATAACTCTTAGATATTGGAGATAAAAAAATATTCACTTTGTAATTGAATTGAGAGTTCATTCATTTAGAACCAATGCTATTCCAAGCCTCATTCAATTAATTCTGCTTTAAGTTAATGTTTAAGATTTATTTCTTGGATAGGGTTTGAGTACTGTACATGCTAATCTATTAAAATGTAATGTGATCATTTTGTTTCATGATACACTTGATTAATCCAAGAACATATCTAAGATTTTAAATTCTGAAATATGAAGTTCAAGCTGTTTAAATAAATGAAGAGCTTTTACAATGACAAACACCATCTCAGACTACCACCCTAGCTACTCATCTGTGAGAACATGTGGATTTGGAGTTTACTGTATACATGGCCCCTCCATGTGCTGCTGTAAATCTAAGCCAGGTAGACTGGAAATCCACCTGATTGGTCTCTCACCAAACAACTTACTTATCAATTTCCAAGCTACTCTCTTGTAGAGGGGTGGTGAGGATATTCTGTGGTTTCCATGGCAATGTTTGATATGAGGGGTTGTGCTCACTTTCAGGACTGCCATTATAATTGTATGTTAGCACACACACAGATAGATAGGTGAGGGAAAGTTTGTATCTTCCACACGATCTCCAGCATCCTTGTTTACTATAGACAAGTTGTGTTCCCCATTTCACTGGAGTAATCAACATAATGTTATGAACCCCTGCCAAGTTGATAAAGGGTGCAGCTGGAACGATTTGGCAATAGGTTTGATGCTGGAGATAAGGTGAAGAGGTTGATGGTTTCACCATTGGTCTTGTAATTCTGTAGATCACATGACCCAGGATTCTACCAAAATATTGGAGGCATATTTCTACTACACATGCGGTGCAAATTTTGATTTTCGAAAGACATGGAGTTGATTTCTAGGCGCTCTATGCCTATGTTGTAGAAATAATACGACAGTGTCCAGTGTTGCCTAGCCGATGTTGACTTTGAAATGACAACTACAACCTGTGCATAGTTTTCTTTTACCGTGGATCACTATAATGCAAGATCCCAGTTGTTAGACGTGCCTGTTTTGGACATTTTTGTATCATTGTGATCTGTCCAGAAGGATTTGCTGTGATGTACAGGGATGGCTCATAAACTGATGGTTGAATTTAGAAAGCTTGAGATTGACAAAAGGGAGAAAAAAGAACAATTTTACAAAAACAAAAAATATATTTTTAGGCTGAAGGAACTACTGGTGGAACTGTTGGATAATGAGGTTATTTAATGTGCTGCCTTTCCTTCCAATCATATGAAACAAGTAATGACGAAAAGTAGGTCACACTTGTATGTACTGTCACATTCATTTTGACTGTTCAATCTGAGATACAGAGTGTTCTGATCTAAATCCCTGAGCTGATTTCGTTGAGGATGAAGTCAGTAGCAAGGACCACTTATTGTTAAGTCTAGTGTTGTCGTATTTGCCTTGGATATGCTTTAATGAACAGCAAACTTCAAAAACATGCAAATCGTCAATCTGTGCTGATGTATCAGTCAAGTGTTGCATTGTAGGATTCACAAAAGAATATTTTCAGTCAACATCTCAAAATGGGATTTTTAATTTCCTTTATTCAGAAGTGACACATCTATAAAGTATACAGTATGGGTATGACAATGATTGTGGTTTACATTCTGTAAAGCTGCTGTTACACAATTCCATTGGTGCTGTTGATGCCGAGACAGTGTATTTGGAATGAGACTCGACGGCATCTTGGAAACTTTGTGATTTAATGTCCAGTTGCTATATGGATATGAACAGGAAAGACAACATATAGAACCATGTAGATTTATTGCTTGGCACATGGGAGCATGATTTCTGGGGGAAGTTCAACTGTTACATATTACCTTTCATTGAGCAAGTCATGTACAGTCGGGGGAGTTGTGTTAAAACATGCTGACTTCACTTTACACATCAGTGGTGTCGACGTTCAAGCAGGCCATCTACGAGTTCCTTAGTCAAACCACTCCCTACCTTTATACTCTTTGCAGATTGGTGTGTGGGACACTGTATCCAGCATACGCTTCCTACAAGGCAATCCGCACAAAAAACGTAAAGGAATATGTAAGTATTTGTGTGATTAGGCAATTTCAGTAAATCAATGGTTTTCATATAGATAATAAATATTACTAAGACTTCAAGCTATCCAAATTAATTACGTTTCTCAGTTTTGGAAATATCCAACCAACTTTCACATGTCAGTTACCATGGAAAGTGATGGTAGAACAACTAATTCAGATGTGTACAATGGGATATTGTATGGAAGGTATTATATAAAGTACTCACCTGCAGGAAGATTTTGAAAATTTCTAAAGGCCCAGCATGTTTCTATATTATTGAATATTTGAAAAATTTAATTGTGGAATTTCCCATGTACATAATTTTTTATATCCTTCTTATCTCTAAGTTATCCAGAAAAATGTTACTAACTTAGATTGAATATGAAGATCCATTTAAAATGAAACTTGTGCAAATATAACTAACTGGCTGTAAGCCTAAATAGGTAGTATTATCAACCTTGACCAATAATAAAACCATTGTTAATACGCCTTTTATTGTCAGGTAAAATGGATGATGTACTGGATTGTATTTGCCATTTTCTTGTCTGTGGAAACGTTTTCTGACGTTCTTTTATCATGGTATGTATTAAATTTACCCGCCTGATCCTCAGGATAATAGAGTTTTATTGTTGTGTAACATTATACATTGTGTAATATCGTATTTAATTAAATGTCAGAAGGTTAACCAATATATATAACAGTTCACTTTATTAATAGTTTAACACTATAGGGGATATGGATGTTTGGCACTTAATTAGCATCACTATTGTATGCCTGTGTAAATTCTACCCAAGTATTGGCTTCTAATATAGGGAATTTCTACCCTTTTAAGTCTTTAACTAGGACAGGGTTCCTGTAAATCAGAGAATGTACCTGCATTGCATAAGAAAATTTGAATAGGATAATAACATTTTTAATTGCTAGATCTTCAGTTGATTTTTTTTTTTTTTTTTTAAATTAGGACAATTTTATCCAATACAGAAAGGTAATGGAGTGAGGTTTTCAGGTCTCAAAAAGGCCTGGAGAAACGTTTGATATCACACACATGTACATTCCTATGATGGTTAGTTTAGTATCATATATAAACCATAACCTTGCTTTAATTTTGTTTTCTCTGGGGTTTTTTCAGGCTGCCATTTTATTACGAGATAAAGATGATATTTGTGATATGGATGTTGTCTCCAATTACCAAAGGATCCAGCTATCTTTACAAGAAGTTTGTGCATCCACACTTAGTGAAGAGAGAAAAGGTAAGTGTTCACAGCTGTCACCAGATACAGCCTCACGTTGTGAAGAGAGAGAAAATAAATATTCACAGCTGTGACATGTTTTGTGGACACATGTTGCAAAACTTACCTAGTCCTTACAGTGGTATAGCCCATGATAAATCGCTCAAATATTGAAAGCTTGATACAACTCCCTGTTTTCATGGAGAGAATCCCTGTTGTCATCAGGAAGAGTCTGTTATCATAGGGCATGTTGTCATTGACAGATTTTTTATTGACATGGGGAGAGTTCACAGTGATTTTCTTTTGCTCAGTTTTACTGATGAATACAGGCAGTTTTCCCTAGCTTAAAAGTACCTTGATTTTCCAAAAATGACCAAAAACTGAGAAATATATTCCCAATTTCAATACAATTAGTACTATATTTTCCCAATTCATAAAAGAACAGGCTGCTGTAAAATTAAGGTAGCAAAACCACTGGTTCAAATTGTCCATAGCGAAAGTTGGTGTTGTCATAGACAGAATCCCTGTTGTCACGAAGAGAGTCCCAGTTGTCCTTGGGAGAGTCTTTATTTTCATAGGGAGAGTTGCTGTTGTCATGGGGAGAATACTTGTTGTCATGAAGAGAGTCCTGGTTGTCAAGGGGGAAATCGTTGCTGCATGAAGAGAGTCCTCGTTGTCATGGGGATAATCCTTGTTGTTATGAAGAGAGTCCTGGTTGTCATGGGGATAGTCCTTGTTGTTATGAAGATAGTCCTCGTTGTCATGGGGATAATCCTTGTTGTTATGAAGAGAGTCCTGATTGTCATGGGGATAATCCTTGTTGTTATGAAGAGTGTCCTCGTTGTCATGGGGATAATCCTTGTTGTTATGAAGAGAGTCCTGGTTGTCAAGGGGGAAATCGTTGCTGCATGAAGAGAGTCCTCGTTGTCATGGGGATAATCCTTGTTGTTATGAAGAGAATCCTCGTTGTCATGGGGATAATCCTTGTTGTTATGAAGAGTGTCCTCGTTGTCATGGGGATAATCCTTGTTGTTATGAAGAGAGTCCTCGTTGTCATGGGGAGAGTCCTTTTTATTATAGTGTCACATGTTGTCAATGTTGTCACTTGAGGAAAACAATGATAATATTGCTCTTCAAATGAAACAGTTATAATAAAGTAAGATATAGAATAATTATGTGTTATGATGATTTTTTCTCTAGAGATTTTACTCTAATGATAATAAACATTGATTTGTGTTTCAGGAAATAGATGAATACATATCCCAGGCAACAAAGCAGGGTTATTCTACCTTACTGAACCTGGGTCAACGAGGCATTTCCTACGCTACCAATGTGGTGGTGAAAACTGCTATAAAGGTAGGTTACCAAGGAGACAATCATGGTAGAGTAAGTATACAGGTCGGTTACCATGAAAAGTCAGGGTAGCTTTATACAGGTCAGTTACCAAGGAAAATCATGGTTGAGCAATTATACAGGTCGGTTACCATGGGAAGTCATGGTAGTAGAGCAAGGTTACCATGGGAAGTCATGGTTGAGCAATTATTCATGAACATAACCAAAGGGTTGGTCTTGAAAGGGCTAAATTGGATGAAAATACCCTAAAAGCTCCTTTAGAAATTAAACAAACATTACTGGAAATCGTCAAAGTGAGCATTGAATTTGACTTATTGATTATTAAACTATGATTTTATATCTATTTCGGTGGGATTTATAATGAATCAATAAAATACAAGAAATTAAATATTTGTTAGAGTTCATTTCTAAATTTTTCATTATTAATAATATTTAATCATAGCACTATCTGTCTTCATGTTTGTTGATATAAATTAAGAAACATCGGGTTGAAAAATAAGATGTGGTAATAAACCGTTTTGACTGTTGTAAGACAAAATATATAATTAACAATAGTTACAACTATAAGTTATGATGCTGAAGACTTGATTCGCAGGTAACAATGATTATAAGTGTTGATGAAATGTTATGTAACAACTATAAGTTATGATGCTGAAGACTTGATTCGCAGGTTACAATGATTGTAAGTGTTGTTGAAATGTTATGTAACAACTTTAAGTTATGATGCTGAAGACTTGATTCAGAGGTAACAATGATTGTAAGTGTTGTTGAAATGTAATGTAACAACTATAAGTTATGATGCTGAAGACTTGATTCAGAGGTAACAATGATTGTAAGTGTTGTTGAAATGTAATGTAACAACTATAAGTTATGATTCTGAAGACTTGATTCAGAGGTAACAATGATTGTACGTGTTGTTGAAATGTAATGTAACAACTATAAGTTATGATGCTGAAGACTTGATTGTGATAACAGATGTTGTTAGGATGATGAGTTACCATGGTGATGACCTTTTTTGCAGGGTCAGTCTAGCCTTGTAGATCATGTACGTAAGAGTTATAGCACCAATGACCTGAGGGTCCCAGACGACTCTCAGAACAACGCCGGGGGAGCGTTAATGGACAGCGAAGACGAATTTGGTAAGAACATCATCAAAGATCGTTAGCAGTTACCAATACAGTAAAAAGGTTCTTGTATGTTAAAAAAACGTACTGCACTTGAAGATAGGAGAAAAAATAAGAATAAATATTTCAACATGGGCAGAGGAATAAGGTGAAGATTTTAGTGACAATATTAATTGCTTAAGGTGTTGTGGCTCCATTAAAAGCATGTTCGCTTCCTAACTTGACAGCAAAATGCACCTAGACAATGCTGATTAAATGTCATTAAATGGCAAGTTTAAATTTATTTTTATCTTTCTCACTTTTTAGGTCACCTGAGCTTTAGCTCAAGTGACCTATTGCTATCCGTCTTCGTCCGTTATTATTTTACATTTTCAACTTCAGCTGAAATTCTGGCAAAGGGATTTCATTAATATTTCATGGGAAGGTTACTGACATCTCCCTGACCAAGTGTTGTTATTTTTCGGGTCAATCAAAAATCCAGTATGGCCGCCAAGGCTGCCATTTTGAAAAACTATTTCAAACTTAAAGTCAAGTTCTGCTAGGCCGATTGAACTGAAACTTTGTAGGAATGATTGACTCATGGTCCTGACAAAGTGTTGTTGTTTTTCGGGTAGATCAGAAATCCAATATGGCCGCTACTGCCGCCATTTTGAAAAACTGTTTCAAACTTAAAGTAAAGTTCTGCTAGGCCGATTGAACTGAGAGTTGGTAGGAATGATCGTCTCATGGTCCTGACAAAGTGTTGTTATTTTTCGGGTTAATCAGAAATCGAATATGGCCGCCAAGGCCGCCATTTTGAAAAACTCTTTCAAACTTAAATTCAAGTTCTGCTAGGCCGATTGAACTGAAACTTTGTAGGCATGATCGACTCATGGTCCTGACAAAGTGTTGTTATTTTTCGGGTCAATCAGAAATCCAATATGGCAGGCTGCCATAATGAAAAATTATTTCAAGTTCTACTTGGCCGATTGAACAAAAACTTTGTAGGAATGATCGACTCATGGTCCTGACAAAGTTTTGTTATTTTTTGGGTCGATCAGAAATACAATTTGGCTGCCATGGCCGCTATTTTGAAAATACTTATTTCAAACTTAAAAACAAGTTCTAATAGGCCTATCTAACTGAAAATCGGTCTAGGAAAGATCAGCTCATGGTCCTGACAAACTTAAGTTAACGTTATACTTAAACAATTTTTTACTCAAATTGGTACATATTTCAACAACAAAAATAAATACTGTTTAGGCCCATGGGCCTCTTGTTTTCTTTTTTGACAGATTAAATGGTGATTGTCGGAATAAACATCACAATCTGATACTCTAAAACATCCTAAACAAGTGTTAATTTTTACTCTATTGCTCCTAAACAAGTGTTAATTTTTACTCTATTGCTCCTAAACAAGTGTTAATTTTTACTCTATTGCTCCTAAACAGGTGTTAATTTTTACTCTATTGCTCCTAAACAGGTGTTAATTTTAACTCTATTGCTCCTAAACAAGTGTTAATTTTTACTCTATTGCTCCTAAACAAAAGCCATATATAACTCCACAGCAATCACATGCATTTGATCATGTCTAAGCTTCTGTCTCATTATGTTTTCTGTGATCTTATTCGTGTTGGTTTACATTTGGAAGTGTGACTAACACATGCTTACATACTCTTTGTTGGGTCAGGTTAACATTTAGATTCACCTTTTTTTTAATTTAGAAATACAGGCTGAGAACATTAATGGTAATAACACTGTGGCCATACCTCAATGGGTTTCTGGATTCATGCATGCTACCTCATAACCCTGATTTCTATACTAAAAATGCTATCTAATAAAAACCAGACATTTTTTGACATACGTTTACTTTGTTTTTAGTGATAACAGGAGTCTCTATTCACTGCACTCCAACCCCAATTACCATAATATACCTATACTTTTGGTTGAATTTTATTTTTATCTAAGTTTAGTAAATACCTAAAGAAATAGCTTCACCACTAATAATACAGGTCTGTATAAACCTGTGGTAGAATACACACAGACAGTGATGAAATTAAGTGATGAAATTATTCAATAACCCAAGATCCATCCCAGTATATAAAAACGGTTTTGGTCATATACAAAATCCAAATGATCAGACCATAGTGGCATAGCTACTCTGAAAAAGGACGGTAAACTTGTTTATGACCCTTCCACCAAGGCCCAGGTGCTAAATGCACAATTTCAATCTGTTTTTACTGCTCCTGAAATCTTTACCGACCAGCAGTTTCGCACTAGATGCAACATGCCTACTCACGATAAGACCCTACCCTGCCTGAAATTNATCAGTCTCTGGAAACAGGTATAGTGCCTTCAGACTGGAAATCTGCAAATGTATCACCTGCTTATAAAAAGGGTCCAAAATTTCACCCAGAAAACTACAGGCCCATATCTCTGACCTGTATCTGTAGCAAAATTATGGAACACATTGTGGTCTCAACTATCATGACCCATGCCGATACCCATAACATATTGTATCCGTTCCAACATGGTTTTCGCAAATCGCGATCATGCGAAACCCAACTTCTTGAATTTGTGGATGACATCTCAAAGAATCTTGATGAGGGACGCCAAACAGATATCCTCATAATGGACTTTGCTAAGGCTATCGACAAGGTCAGTCATTCTCTCCTAAACCATAAACTAAAACATTATGGTATATGTGGAAATGTCGCAAACTGGATCAAGAGTTTCCTGACTGGTAGAACTCGGACAGTAGTAGTTGAAGGGGAGAAGTCTGATTTTGTCGATGTCCATTCTGGGGTACCCCAGGGGTCAGTTTTGGGACCCAGTTTATTTCTTTACTTTATAAATGATATCCCTGTGGGTCTACAATCCGTTTATTTACAGACGACACTATTGCATATCTAGTTATCAAGTCAAACAGTGATGCTGAAACACTTCAAAAATATCTTGACAAACTAGCGCTCTGGGAAAATACATGGAAAATGATCTTCCACCCAAACAAATGCAATGTGTTGTCGGTGACTAAAAACAAAACTCCAATAGTCCATAATTATACTTTACATGGACACATAGTGGAACATCTTAGTCAGGCCGAGTATCTGGGTGTAACGCTATCATCTGACCTTAAATGGGATTCACATATAAATACTATCTGCCCAAAAGCAAATTCTAAGCTAGGCTTTTTAAGACGAAATCTTAAGATTGGCTCAACATCAGCCAAAGTACAGCATACAAATCAGTAGTTCGACCATCACTTGACTATGCCTGTACAGTATGGGACCCTCACACCCAAACAAATATTGACAAGTTGGAAATGGTCCAGCGAAGGGCAGCGCGCTATGTGCTCAATAAGCACAGGTACAACCATCGTACCTCCAGTGTGTCAGAAATGTTGGACCAGCTAAAGCTGCGCCCTCTAGCAGATAGACGCAGAGATGTTCGTCTGACCATGCTTCACAACATTGTAAACCAGAAAGTCGTTATCGTAAAATCAGACAGATTAATCCCTACAGTTAGAAAATCCCGAACAAACCACCAGTTTTCGTATCAAATTCCCCACTCAAAAACCCAGACCAGAAAGGCATCATTCTTCCCTCAAACTATACCCGAGTGGAATAAACTCCCACCTGACATTATTTCTAGCCCTACAACGGAATTATTCAAATCAGCCCTCTACTGTCACTTTTCAAACGCAAATTAGACCATCTCGTATCTTTTAAAAACAATCTCTTTCCATGTTTCACTCCTCGTCTGACATTTTATTGTCAAATTGTTGAAGTTGGTCAGTACCATTTAGAAGTAGAAGATATTGTAAATCACTTAGTTTACAAATTATTGTTCTCGCAATTACACTTAAATGAATAGCTTGCTTATGCTTCTTGAAATAAAGTGACACCTCCATGATAAAGTAAACTTTGTTCACAGCAAAATGGCTTGATTACGAGATGGCTTTATATTTTCTTAAATAATGTTTAGATGGGCTTAATTTTCACACATACAAATGTAACTATTTTTGCTTTTACACCCAAAAGAAAGTATTCACCACAGCTGAAAAAGATAATATGATGACAGGTATTTTGTCTTTATAAATATTTGTTGGCTCCCCAAATTTCACTCTTCAATGATTTACAGTGCATCTTAAAAAGCATATGTGTTATAAAAGGAAATCACCTTTAACTCCTCACTAATCATCAGTAACCTTTCAACCAAGGGTTCTCTAGTACTAGTTGTCTGCCTTTATTAACAGTGTTACACAACTGTTTGAGTTGAGATCCACAGACTGATCATTTTGTTAAGAAAACTTATCATGCTGCAAAAAATAACTCTTATTGGAAAAAAATAGTATTTGCATGTATATTGGAAACATGTTTCATTTCATACCAGATTATTAAATATGTGTATAATGTAAATTTTCCAATACGTCCATTTTGTAAGTCTTTATATATCTAATATGCTCATATATATATATATATATAAGTGTTTTGACAGTGCAATTGACGTCAACACATTTGTTTTAATATTCACTAAACCAAACCTGTTTTGCTAAACCTACCCTGTTCTCTGGAATCCCTCCTCTTGGTCCTAGAACATGATTGGCTCCCTCCCTGATTTCCTGGTTTACGGTGAACTTGTGTTGAGTAAGGTTCTGAGGACTGTTGATAACAGTTCTATAAACCAGTTAGCAAAGGAAATATCGAGGCTGAATATTTGTGGATCTCATACCCGGTAATATTTTTCATGGAAATTATAGTTGTGCATGCACATTCACATCATAAAATTTTGTTTCGTGAAGTATATTTCAATATAATCTAACAGTAGTCTAATGAAAATTTCTGATAAGGGGCATTATTACAGAATTCAGATTATTTTACATTAAAACCTCTGGTTTGATTCATAGTAATTGATATTTTTAATGTTGAATCGTCCTTTATACCAGAAGTAGGTTTTAAGTTCCATGCTTTGCAGTATATTCTCGGTTGAATAGCATGTAAATGACGTTCATCTTTTAGATTTTCTCATGATCACAATGCTTTTAATGTAACAAGGTTCTACAGTTTTTTCCCAAATAATACCAGTGATAACTAATTTCATTATTTGATAGGTGATAAATTACCAGTGATAACTAGGTTCATTATTTGATTGGTGATAAATCACCAGTGATAACTATGTTCATTATTTGATTGGTGATAAATCACCAGTGATAACTATGTTCATTATTTGATTGGTGATAAATCACCAGTGATAACTATGTTTATTATTTGATTGGTGATAAAATACCAGTGATAACTATGTTTATAATTTGATTGGTGATAAATTACCAGTGATAACTAGGTTCATTATTTGATTGGTGATAAGTTACCAGTGATAACTATGTTTATAATTTGATTGATGATAAATTACCAGTGATAACTAGGTTCATTATTTGATTGGTGATAAATCACTAGTGATAACTATTGTATGTTCATTATTTGATTGGTGATAAATCACCTGTGGTAACTATGTTCATTATTTGATTGGTGATAAATCACCTGTGATAACTATTGTATGTTCATTATTTGATTGGTGATAAATCACTGATAAATCACCAGTGATAACTATGTTCATTATTTGATTGGTGATAAATCACCAGCGATAACTAGGTTCATTATTGGATTGGTGATAAATCACTTGTGATAACTAGGTTCATTATTTGATTGGTGATAAGTTACCAGTGATAACTAGGTTCATTATTTGATTGGTGATAAATCACCAGTGATACCTATGTTCATTATTTGATTGGTGATAAATCACCAGTGATAACTATGTTCATTATTTGATTGGTGATAAATTATCAGTGATAACTAGGTTCATTATTTGATTGGTGATAAATCACCAGTGATAACTAGGTTCATTATTTGATTCGTAGTACAATGTCCATTGTTTGGTTACACTTTACTGGTATTTTGGGTTACAGATGAGCGACTTTCTGAAGACAACAGAGAGATAGAGAGAAGGAAAGACAAGAGAAAATTACACAGAAGCTCTAGTGATGTCACAGATAGCCGGTCTGTAAGGCCACAAAAAACTCCAGGTACTAAATCCCCTGTTAGAAAAATTCACATTACTATCCAACATTACTGTATGACATTTTTTTAGACGATAAAATCCTGTTAACTTTAACCTGGTATACATGCATCAGTCACGGTGGACTTTGACCTTTTACAATTATAATCCCTTGTTTGTCATTTTACAATTATCATCCCGTGTAAAATTTGACCACGATTATATGCTTTATATCGTGATATTTTCCCTATGTTCTGTTGTAGCAATATCTCTTTAGAGATAATGTTTCTGTTATATAAGGACAAAAAATGGATCTTGTACATGTATAATTCTTTGTGAACTTTGACCTTTTGACATGTATAACTCTCTGTGAACTTTGACCTTTTTACATGTATAACTCTCTGTGAACTTTGACCTTTTTACATGTATAACTCTCTGTGAACTTTGATCTGTTCACATGTTGTATTACTTCCCATAAACATCTTCAGGTCTTTCCAAATTGGAGGAAGAGGACGAAGACCAATCCTCATATTCAGAAGAAGTGTATTACACACAAAGCTACTATAGCCCAAAGGATGTAAGTACCAACCCGATTCCCAGCTGATTCTAACCAATATTGTTTGACATTGTTGAAAAATAGAATAGTTGAACCAGATGAACATTTCTGTGCTTAAGGTATTTCGCCTTTGTTAATACGATTTAAGCTGGGTGTATTCCTGTCAGGTTTACTTGAGTGAGTTACAACCACAGTAGTCTTCAACACTATCACAGTTCGTGACTTTCAAATTTGTTTTGTAAGCACACCTGGAACGCAGTGTCTGTGAGCTTATGCCATGGCGCGGCATCTTTACGTTGTCAACCTTTTCTTATTTCTGTGCCTTCTCTAAAATGATAATGCCTAAAATATTTAGTAGAATTTTTAGCCTATAGAATGCTAGGATGAAGAGTTATCAAGTTTGTGCGAATAGATAATACCCGTTTTCAAGATCCATACTGTGAAATAGTTTGCCTGTAGTTTAAAACAAGTAAAAATGATCTTCCAGCAAAGATCTTTAAGGTACAAAGACGTGACATTTAGTGTTAATTTACTTGCTATCAAAGTGATTTACCATGTTTGGCATAGACTCTCAGCATTTAATAACAGGTGAGTGATACAGCCTATTTGGCCTTTTGTTTTCCATGTTTAAAATTGCTATTACTGAAACACAGGAACCTCTTTCCTTCCCATCAAAATTTGAATGAAAGTGTTCATTTTAATTCCTAACATAATTACCTGTACCTGTATTATCAGTGTTGCAGTTTCCTTTCTGTTAAATAGAATTTATCTCTCATTTGTAATGCATACAAAGAAATGTCAAACTCAGGACGAGATATTTCAGGTCTAGCACAAGGCTTTGTCAAGTGCCAAACCTCAAAAATCTAATCCCAATTATTTGAGATTGCTCTCTGTCTACATCACACAGCAGTAATTGATTATTGTTCTCCCACACTGTCATAGCAAATACTCCGAGTTGTAATGGTGAACCCTACACAATATGCCATTGTCAATGGTGCATAAAATCTGACAAAATTAGATATGCCATTGTGTTATGGTTACAGACTAACATTGAATAGTGGGATGACATGGTCCTTATGTTATGTGGTGATACGGTCAGCATACAGGTGGCGGTGCATGTGAGCTGTGTTTATTTAGGTAGATCAAAATTAATCAAAAAGATAATCTGTTGGATGAGGTGTAGATACCTGAAGGATCAAATATTGAAGAAAACATAATGTTTACCAAGGGTTTCTTTCAATATTTCAATCAGAGGGTCATTTGATCTATATCACGTTCCCAGGGATAGATTGTATTACTTGCGTATATTCCAGGAAAAGCACTATGTTTAGCGACAGAGTGACGGGCATATCTTTTCTTCTGGCCATCCATGAAGTCACAATTACCACAATGTTAATTTGTGATGACATAATAGGGATCTTAACTTGAGATTCAGATAGAATATTCCAGTGTCGATGGGGGTATCCTGGTCAGGTGGGCAAAGACATGTATCTTTTCCCTAGAAAAGAGGGAACACAACTGTGAAGTGTGGGAGAACCATTCAACATTAATACCTATTATAAACAGGATATAAAAGACTATAATGACAGAGTAAAACTACAACAGTTTCCACCAACAGAAACTTAACACTTGTAGATAGGATGTGAACACGTATATGTGTGTGGTGCTGGTTCACACTTGTGTTTTTGGACTTGCTGTCTTAGTGTTTGTGATGTGTTCTATGTTTGATAAGTTTGTTTGGCTGCACTATAACTAGACAAGCTTAGAGTGGGGTTTACTATACCTGTTTCAGCACAAGAGTGATCCGTATGGAACGTTACCTCGCACAAGAGCTAGAACAAGATCCAAGCTTCATCAATGACAGCACCTCCATGCTTCCCGCATTCAACCAAGACATGGTCATGTAGTCACAAAAACAGAGTCGGTTGTAAACTGTCCGTCTCCCCACAGATCAGTACTGTAACTAACAGCAAGAGGAATAATATAGCCTGTCAATTATACTCGCCATCACAGTTCTGTTCCCTACTGACTATCATTGGATTTGGACTTTAAATGAGTGTAGATAAAAAAAGGCTTTTCTTACAGGAGAAAAAATGTTAATAATACACACTACTAAATAAGAGAATTTCTTTTTCATTCTCGTTATATAAAAAGATTTAAATGAAGTATGATTTGCTCCCTAATTTTGTATGATATCTGAATTTAATATAGCCAGAAAAAGGTTAATTAATCAAGTAAGATGTCGACAAGGAGAGAAATGTTGTCTGCCTTTGAAGAATGGAAATGATATAGAAACAAGTGTGAAAAATTAGTATTGAGATCAAATACAGCCATAATACAAATATTGGTCAAAACTGTTTGAGACAGAAATTGACTGTCTGATGCAGTAAATAAAAAATATGATGTGCTCCAGTTACTCACCAGTTCGTGTCATCTAACATTGGTCATCCCCACCACTGAACTGCTCAATATACTGAAGAATTCCAACTCCATCAGGCCCCAGGATTGTGAGGCAGTCCGACTGAGTCAGTCCAGATTTCAAATGATGAAAAAATCAGTATTCTTCATTAAATCAGTCTAGCTTTTGTGTAGAATAGCCTTTTCATGGAACTCAACTTAGTATTAAAAAAATGGACTCAATTGTAAGTTCTTTGATGACCCTGGGGCCAGTGCTATTGTACCTAGCTTTGTGTGTTAAAGGTTTGCTTTTTAGACTACGAAGGTGGTGGAGCACATTTCGTACTGGACCATGATAATTTTTACGTTTTTGTCGTGGTAATATAATTACTGTAAAGATTATCTTTTTGTGAGGTTCTGTTTTTGTGATATTTTCGTAACTGTGATTTTTGCATGAAAATTAACCCCACAAAATATGAATTACATGTAATTGTCATTTCGTAAAGCTTCATGTTGAAGTTTTCCTCATTAATTTTGCCTCATAAACTGACACTCTAGAGAATGTTTGTAGTCGTTGACACTTCTATGTGTACAATTTATAAAAGCATATTGTACACACATCACCAAATAAATTATCAGTTTCTTCATTTAACATTTGACAAATGACATAACATAAAATGTTTCCGTGATGAAAACCATTGTTATTTCCTTAAAAGTTTAACTATCTTGAAATAATTTTCAAACAAAACCTGGTTATTATTTAGAGGCTGATATCATTCATCAGTAGTAGGAAAAGGCTACATGTATTGATTTAGTTTTTATGAATCATTAATTTTCCCAAAACGTTGACATCAAATGTTTTTGTCCACCTTATTTTCATTTCGTGCAAGTGATCTTTTGATGAGCATCTTTTGCAGGGTTCTCCTAAGGACAGGAAGAGAAAAAAACAGTCAGATCAGAATTTGCTGAAGACACAGAGAAGATTATCTGAATGACCTTTGTATAGTCACCATATGTAAATCTGAACATAGCACTGATGTTTATAAAAAATCAACCAGCTTTATAAGTGTGTTACTATACACTGACATGCTTTATAAGTGTGTCACTATACACTGACATGCTTTATAAGTGTGTCACTATATGCTGACAAGCTATATAAGTGTGTCACTATACACTGACATGCTTTATAAGTGTGTCACTATACACTGACACGCTTTATAAGTGTGTCACTATACACTGACAAGCTTTATAAGTGTGTCACTATACAGTGACATGCTTTATAAGTGTGTCACTATACACTGACAAGCTTTATAAGAGTGTCACTATACACTCACAAGCTATATAAGTGTGTCACTATACACTGACATGCTATATAAGTGTGTCACTATACACTGACAAGCTTTATAAGCGTGTCACTATACACTGACATGCTTTATAAGTGTCTCACTATACACTGACAAGCTTTATAAGTGTGTCACTATACAGTGACATGCTTTATAAGTGTGTCACTATACACTGACACGCTTTATAAGTGTGTCACTATACACTGACAAGCTTTATAAGCGTGTCACTATACACTGACATGCTTTATAAGTGTTTCACTATACACTGACAAGCTATATAAGTGTGTCACTATACACTGACATGCTATATAAGTGTGTCACTATACACTGACATGCTATATAACTGTGTCACTATACACTGACATGCTTTATAAGTGTCTCACTATACACTGACAAGCTTTATAAGTGTGTCACTATACACTGACAAGCTTTATAAGCGTGTCACTATACACTGACATGCTTTATAAGTGTCTCACTATACACTGACAAGCTTTATAAGTGTGTCACTATACACTGACAAACTATATAAGTGTGTCACTATACACTGACAAGCTGTATAAGTGTGTCACTATTCACTGACAAGCTATATAAGTGTGTCACTATACACTGACAAGCTATTTATGATTGTCAATATATACTGACAAGTTATATAAATGATGTCACTTTATACAGAGCTGTGTTCTATTTTGTGCTATTATTATGTTGCTTAAAAGGATATGAATGGTGTACACAGAATGCAATCGATTAACTAAGTAATGTGAACAAACTTTCCTTTCTTTAAGTTGGTTACTTACCTATCAAACAACCATGGCAATATATTTTGATCACAAAACCCTTCACTTCAAATGTACGAAATCATTTTGCAATTCCTGTTAAATGTCCAGGATGTGATTATCTCCCTTGGAATCGTATGATGCTTCCTATTTACAACTGTAGGTAAATGGCAAGATCTTAATGAATGTGAGCTTTTATTATTTTTAAAGTTCATGATTGCTTAAAATTTGGTTGAAAGGTTATGGTTGATCTCTGTTTGTATGTGTTATTTTTAAACCGCTCTCGGCAGGAGCCGGGCGGCTTATTGATATTTTTCTGATTTTTTTTGTCATAACTTTTCAATGAATACTTTGTTGAACACTTTTCTCTGTACAATATGAAGTGTTACTTGACTGTTATGCTGGTTCATCATAGTTTGTAGATAAGTGAGATAATCCTATTCATATTTTTACAATGCATTACAAGGGTTGAATGTTTTGATGGGACTTTAGAAGAACCTTGTGAAGTCTTTTTACAGGTTTGACCTGCCAAAATTGTACATAACCTATGATTTAGCTTGTTATATGCAAAGCATTATTTATGTGAATATGTTGAGATTTTTACCTGCTCTGCTAGAAACATATGTACAGTGTATAGAAATAATCATAAAAAGGTCATAAATGAGTTTTGCATAAGATATACCAGTGTTAATGATACAGACCTTTGTTCTAATTACATATCGAGATGATTTCACTCTATTTTCTATGTATAGATGTTTGTAAATCTTACTAGGTTGTAAACCTTTTTTTATTAATTTTTGCCCTGAGAGCTTACTGATGTGCTGATTATTTTAATTGTGATAGCTTTAACATCATTGAATCTCATGCATCATTGCATGTAAGGTAACATGTACCAGCAACCTGAACTATCTTATTACCATTGTCACTGTTGTGAAAAATTGTTTCAAGTCCAATTTGAAAAAGAGTATTCCGTAAAAATCACAGGTTGCAAAACATTTCACAGAATTATGGTTGTACATAATTTGAATGTTTGAGAGCGGAAATAAAAAGGAAACAAATAGAAACTGTAAGGGTTAACTCTAAACCTTTAAAATGAAAAACCCTGGGCATAACCAATGCTGTCGCCCAGGAATTATAAATGTAGGTCATCAAAAAGAGTAAAGCCAAAACAATTTCTTTTGGCTGCTTCATCTTCCATATAAAAGGGAGAATACTCCACGTAAAAAATAATTTAGTTGAACTCTTGGCAATAATACCTGTTGCAGTGGTACTCTTTACCTTAAATGGACTTGTTCTGTAACTTATACAATCTAGGACTGAGTAAGTGACTCATCTTTTGAATGAGAGTGTGGATAGGTGCTAATATTGTTGTATATTTATTATTTTTATTTTGCACTGTTGTGGGTCCATTTACTATGCGATCATTTGATCTCAAATCTAACTCCCCAACACAGGATAAAATTTGAAAATAAGTTTGTATCAACTTAAGCTAATAAGTTAAACTTAATGGTCTCACTAGCATCCTAGTCAATATTGTCATCTTGTGTATCTAAAATAAAAATAAAACAAACCTGGAAATCTAAAATACATTCATCCATGTAATACTTTTTTGGTGTAGGGAATAATTGTATATCAGTTAAAAATAGTCTATATACACAATCTATATACACAACAAAGCAAAGATTCTGCTTGTTCAATTAAACTAGTGATATGATTAAAGTTTAATAACAAAGTTTATTTTGTTCCAATCATCTTACCATCATTAAACGCATAATTGATCTTAAATTTGGAATATCAAGCATTAATAACAGCAATGAAAGCATCGCGCTTGCTATATATATTGCACATGATTCATTTTAAAGGTCACAAATAATCACTTCTTTTGCCTGATATTTTTAATTATTTGCTCAAAATTCCATTATATTTTGTTATGCTCCCTTTATATCACCTTTATACATATGAACACCTTTTATAATCACTTTAGCACGAGGGATGGGCTCTGTTTTTCTTCAAGTTTATAATCCTTTCACAAATATGCTTATTCCACCATAAACCATATGAAGATAATTAAAATCTTTTATCAGGATGATGAAATGCTACATCATAATAAAAAATAAATGTTTCAATAACAAGTATTTATAGCTTTAATATCTAGCATGTGATTTTTCATTATACTTGAATAATTTTCCCCCATGACACATTTTTTTTGTTATAGTTTCCTTATCACGAAACACATTCCAGTAGTTTCAGACTCTGTGTCCTAATATGGTCATACCTTATCACCAGTAATTACTTGTGATGACTCCGTGTCCTAATACAGTCATACCTTATCACCAGTAACTACTTGTGATAACTCTGTGTCCCAATACGGTCATACCTTATCACCAGTCACTACTTGTGATGACTTTGTGTCCTAATACGGTCATACCTTATCACCAGTAACTACTTGTGATGACTCCGTGTCCTAATAGTCATACCTTATCACCAGTCACTACTTGTGATAACTCTGTGTCCTAATACGGTCATACCTTATCACCAGTAACTACTTGTATTTTCATCACTAACTGAATCTCAGGACATGATTTTGTTGTCATGCTTTTGATGACATTCTGTTTAAAAAAAAAATGGAAATTTAAATATCTGTGTTATGCTTTTGGTGGTGTAATAGAAGTGTCTGTTGTTTTTCCTTTATGCTGATATTTGCCGATCAATGTTGATGTTCTGTTCCTGTGAAGCTTGTTTGTTACTAAACCATAATGTTTTCTTTTATAGAAATGGAATAATCTCCATGCTCTAACATTGTTAATATGAAGAAAGCAGAAAACGTGTCACCAGAGGTACAGTTTGATATTATATTGACTGGAAGTTAATCCTGCTTAGAAAGGTCAGGCAAGCATGAGTGGTGTAATGGGATTGAGATGGAAGCAGGAATGTGATTTACGAGAGTGTTCGTTGTGTTACACTGTGCCTGTCTTAGTCCATGCTAATTACTGGTAGAGAGAGAAATATGTTGTCTATTTCAGTTGACACACCAGGGTTTTACCTGTACCACCTAAGGGTTGGTTGTTACCTGTGTTACTAGCTGGTGATGCTGATTAGAGTTATAATTTATGAAAACTTTGTAGTAACAATGACAGTAGATTGTTAGTATGTGAGTCAACTGATACAAGTCTAGCTCATGGAGTGCTAATGTATGGTGTAATGGCAATCTATACCATTACCAAGGCTACACTGAAACCTATTATCAGCTATCTTCCTCTTGTCTGACAAAGTTGTGGGATATTTTGCAAATAAATTGGAAAACATTATTTCAAGTTATAGAACCAGGTGTTGTGTAAACAAATAGCATTGGTGAAGAACTTTTGAAGTTTGTTGCCGATATAAAGATGAGCTGAGATAGTTTATTTTTTGTATGGGATGTTGCATAATGAAAAAGAAAATTGGTCTTTCATTGCCATTATTAGCCATTGCTGTGTCTTCCATCTTGCATATTAAGTAAAAGGAATGATGCATAGCGTAGTTTGTAGTGAACTGTTCCTACAGGTTAGACAGTCACCTTCACACTTATCTGTAATCTTGTAACAAGAGTAACTTCCCTTTGAACTGTTTCCATACAAATGTTGTCGTTGCTGTCAATGTTTTTTGGTCCCTATTTGTCTTTCCATGTTGAAAATTATGTATTGATTTTGAGAAATAATTAGCTAATCAGAAATTTTTATTCATCATTCAATTAGGTATTGATGATAATTACAGGTGTTGACCTTTGAGCTATATTCAGTGAACGTTGTTATTGGCCTTGATTAAAATCATTATTAATTGTTGAAGTTTTACAAAATTTAATTGAAATGCTGTTAGTGTATTTATTTGGGCGCTATTGATATTTTTACAGCTTCCTTTGACAATTGTACAGAGATACTTTTTCGTAATACCATTCAATAGGAAAGTGTTGAAGGCCCTTAAATATCAATGCCTTGATATAAATACGCCTACCGTACCTGTTTTATACAGGAAAAGTAGTTAACCTATGTTAGTATACTTGTAACTTGTTATAGAACTGAACCATTGTTATAACATAGTCAATTGTTATACTCTCACATTAAATAGTCACTGGAGTCCAAAGGAGTTCAGAAAGAATAATATTCCAAAATATGTAGACACTCACTATTCATGAATATACTGTATTTTTGTGTACTCATACTCGGATTTTTACAGGGTAGTTTCCGGTGGTATATCCGAGGCCAGCATACATAACACACACACAGGATAATTGAAAATCAGCTGAGCAGGTTTTATTTTGAACGTCAGTTTTGTAATATTGCTTACAATAGCTTAAGGTAGCCAGAATATAGACATCCGTGATCTTAGTAAAAACCATTCTACATATCATTTGATGGTTTTATAACTACATTCTAGTTACAGCTAATTAATATATAATTGATATTTCAATAGTAAACATTGGATTTAGAGCTTGTTCAATTGCAATATTTGTCATAACAAATTTGGTTTGAATGGATTGTTTTACAAGATTTTTCTGAAAGGTATGTTTGCTACAAGATGAGAAGAATGTTTGCCACACATTACATTAAAAACAATGCACTCAGATTAATGTAATTTTGTTGTGAGCAAGCCATGTTAGCATAACCTTTGACCTGTGTTGTGACTTAAAGTTGACCTTTAAACTTTGTGATATGTACATATTGGAGGACTTGTATGATCAAGTGCCTGTTTTAATGACCTAGTGTTAAAGAAGGCTATGTAACAACCACTATTGTAACCCCACTCACTAGTGTAACCGGGTACGGAAGGCTATGTAACAACCACTAGTGTAACCAGGTACAGAAGGCTATGTTACAACCACTAGTGTAATCCCACTCACTAGTGTAACCGGGTACAGAAGGCTATGTAACAACCACTATTGTAACCCCGCTCACTAGTGTAACCGGGTACAGAAGGCTATGTAACAACCACTATTGTAACCCCGCTCACTAGTGTAACCGGGTACAGAAGGCTATGTAACAACCACTATTGTAACCCCACTCACTAGTGTAACCGGGTATACACTAATTGGTAGTTCTGCAAATTACAATGGTCAGAATCAACAATGCTAACCAGGTTACACCAGATGTCCAGGTTACAGCAGTGGTTGTAACAAGGCTAGTTACGAGTGTCAGCAAATCTCTAAAGAGACCTGAAAGTACCTGTTGTGATAACATTTTTAACTTGTATATAAAACTTATGATTATACATTCACCCAAACTGAGAACAGGGATCACATAACCTAGTGTAATTCAATAACCATTAAACTTGATACTTTGATTTTTATGTAAAACCTAATTGTTGAGAACTGAACTACTGTGTTACACCGTGTAATGGTTGCCTAAAGCACTATTTCCTGCTATGATAATTTCCTGGTAATGGGTGTTGATGAAAGACACACACTATAACTAGCACCATGCTTTTCAGCGATATTTACCCTATTACAAATTTTCAAATGTATTGTACGGGTGCTTGAGGTATTCATTTCTATAAACATTAGTGAAATAAATGCAACAATCTTGTTTTAAATCATGTTGTTCTTGTTTTTATACACTTGCTTACTCTTATCCCTCAACTGTGAATGTTGGCTTAAAAGTCTTGTCGTCAGTGATGAAAAAAGTTGTCAAATCAGCGAGAATTTTAGAGAAGTAACAGAACCACTGGGTTCATTTCTATTCATAATGGTCGGGGATAGAGAATGTTTACATCGGTGGACTTTGCACAGTACTGGGTAAGGAATGAACTATTTTTTTAGCTGCTGCTTTTACAGCAAACAGAAAATGTAATTGATATTGTGGAAAAGAAAACAACTTTATAGCGGAATCTGTTTTAGTGACCATGTTGTTCACCAAGGAAACTATAGAAATGATTAATGACATTAACGTCTTAAGTTTTATGGCATTCATCTTTTTCTTATGAAATCTGTTTTGCCTATTATGCATCAGACATGAACACATTTGTTTTAATTTCGTGCCATATAACAGTATACCTGCACTGGAAAAAAAACTTTTGGTCTCTGTTTCGGAAAACCTGTGCCTGGAAAGTTGCAGAAGGAAAATCACATTGATGGATCTTAATACATGAAATGGCTTTCAAGATGACACCTGAGGCATAGTACAAAACAAAGGGGATGGGGGG